GCGGAAAGAACCCCCACCAAGACCTAGGAGGCCTTCAGAAAAAGATCTACCGCCAGCAGACATGACCGATCTGGACCCCCCGGAGTTCATGTCTCTCTCAAACAGCATGTTCCCTTCTCGCGGCTCAAGCCGAAGTGGCTCGGAAAGCGACATGCCACGAGGCCTTGCGCCAACGCATTCCTTACGTCCACCGCCACTAGCAGCTTCTGGGCTCGGTGATGCGCCCATGAACGCACTCCACACCCCTTCGGACTCTGGCTTCTCAGACGATTCATACGCCAGCTCGGGCTACCGCAGCATGACAAGCTCCAGATCAAGCCCCCCAGAGTCCGAGGCTGCGCACTCACGCCAGACTTCCAAGATCAGTCGTCCTGACAACATCGTCGAGGAGAATGTTGAGAGAAGCGCAAGCCCGGAGTCCTACGCCGAAGCACGGCCTGTTCGAGCGCCGAAGAGTTACATGCGGCCCGATGGGGCGGAGCCGTACCCAAGGTCGCTTTCACCGGGATATCGCCAGGACACGTTTCCGCCTGGAGGATATGCGAAATACCCTGAGTCGCCAATGGACCCCGCCATACAGATGGGCGCGTCAACACCGCGTGACACATTCGAAAGAGAGCCGGCAACACCCCAGGACCCGGCGCAAGTCAATGCAAGCCCACCAAGACGCATGGCCGAGCCTGAACCCCAGCAACAAGACGTGCGCCGACCTAAGGCTGCTAGCAAAGGCAACTGTCGTGGGTGCTCGGAGCCAATTGTTGGAAAGTCCGTGAAGGACTCTTCCGGCCGCCTTACGGGACGCTACCACAAGCATTGCTTCACGTGCAGAACGTGCGCTGATCCCTTCCCGACAGCGGAGTTCTATGTCTTCGAGAACTCGCCATATTGCGAACAGCACTACCACAAGCTCAACGGATCTTTGTGCAATGCCTGCAACCGGGGCATCGAAGGCCAATACCTCGAAACCGATTTGCGCCAGAAGTTTCACCCAAGATGTTTCACGTGCACGACCTGCCGCATCGTCCTCCGCGACGGCTACTTTGAAGTCGCTGGCCGGCGATACTGTGATCGACATGCGCAAAGCGCCGCAGCACCTCCGAGAAGTAACCTAGGCCCGGGCAATTACAGACCGCGAAACCTCCAGAAGCGCGGTACAAGGCTCATGATGATGGCGTGAACCATGCACCTCTCGCATAACCGTTGTCGTTGCTTCTTCTTGCTCATATTTTGCTTTTCATTTGTCACGTCCTTTAGCGATCTGGTTTTTGTTTGGGCCTTTTGCATGAATATTCACCCTCTTCATTCTTTCTGATACCCGGCCAGTCCGCTGTTACTTTACCATATGTTCTGCATTATACCCCTTACTCTATCCATTCGCTACATCTTATAATTGTCTTTTGTACCGATGTTGGATGGTGGTCAAGCACCGACTTTTGGGGGTTGCTTTGGGTGGTGCTCCATATACCACCTTTTGTTGGAAGGTTTCAGTCGCTGGAAGACTGTTCTTACTTTGTCAATAACGAGGTCCGACTGCACGTGTACATATATGTAACATACTTAATGTTTACTGCTCACCATGGTGGGCTTATCAATATCGATTGAAGAATCACTTTGCGTTGCCTTGTTGGATGATTCCTTGTCATTCCCGCGATGCACACAGCTAAACACTCAAGGTGTCCACATTGAGTGATTGGGCGTTCCCGCAAACGTGGTCAGGCTTGGAAGAAGCGGCGAACCATCAGTCATCATCAATCAAGGCTACTCCAATATCTGGATATCCATACTAGAACTGGAGTCGTGTGTTTGGTCCATCGATCGCAAGTGCTATAACGGTATCACCTTCAAGTATCGCCCGCTATCGCAATCTCGCCATTCTCTATCCATTTCACGGCATCATCAATACCCTAAACGCTTTTCCCCTTGAAGAGCACAAAATCAAGAAGATTGAATTAGTTAGAGAGGTATATAAACCATGTCCGCTATGGACTCCATTGATTCATACATAACTACCACTGCAACTTCTACCACCAACCAGCTACAGCATCTACTACAATACTAGCAACAGCACTCTATAATTCATACAAGCTACAACCATCAGTAACACAAATACCATGTGCGACATCAACCAACCTCTGTTCAGTGAACAGATTCCTCGTCTTCCGAACTCAAGCAAGGGTCCTGAGCCCAACCCTCCTGACACCCCACCTCCAACACCTCCGGGCGGATATAAATGTGTAAATACCCATGATGTAAAAACACGTACATCACATAGAAGCTGACATTCGTACAAGAACCTTGGTCCGGAGCCTCCAAGGCCTCTGGATCCACGTTCCGGTCTTCCCGCATCGCCCTACAGGCAACGAGAAGACTTTGTGCTTCCAGAGCCGTCTGTAAGGATCTCATTCCGGGAGCCTGATCAGCAAGTGAACTGACTGTTGTCTCAAGGACGCTAAGACTGGCTACACACCTCCTTCTTCGCCAGCACCGCCGCCTAATACGCCCGAAAAGAGACGAGGAGACCTTCCTCTACCAGAGCCCTCTGTAAGTACCATCTTCCGAGAACCTAATCTTGTAGTCGAGCTGACCGTTTTGTCAAGGACGCTAAGACTGGCACCACACCACCACCGAGGCCCAAGACTCCACCAAACACACCCAAGAAGTGTTCCGCGGATTATGGTTCAAACACTCCCAGTCCATCTTCAGGCATGATCTATGTCATGGCTTGCGCTTAAATGTCGAAGACCAGTGTTCGGCTGAGAATCATGAGTGAACGGAAGGGGAGGAGACGCCTAGCTATGGCTATGAACAGTGATTGCGCATGATGATCGTTGGCAGCTCTGCAGTACATGTTTGGACTCTATAGCTCCCAATGATAACTTAAATCCTTTGACATATCAGCAATTGCCTTACAACAATACCAGCAAATGATATCACCTAGACTCACTTCGTAGTAATGACCACCCACTGACTCGCCCTCATCCAGACTTCCTCACCAACCTTCTTCGTACCCTCTTGCTCCAAAAGATGCTTCACCAGCAGATCAACCGCCTCATCCCATCTTTCCCCATCTGTCTCCGCCCACCCACCTATGCCACCTAAATACGCCCAAGATTTCTCCGCCCAATCTCTCAGATCATCAGTCTTCGCCCAAGCCTCGCTCTTCTCCACCCTCATGTTTGTTCGCGAGAAACCCGCCTCCAACATCACTTTCTGGATCTGCTGACCGTCTTTCCACAGTATAGGCGGTGCGGGATACGGTTTGCCTGGACGGAGGGCTTGATGCACGAGTGCGAAGGGTGGGAGCCAGGTGACGTTCTCCCAGCAGTTTACTACTGCGGTGCCGCCGGGTTGGAGAGTACGATAGATTTCTTTGGCGCCATCGAGACCGGCGGAGCTGATGAAGAAGATGCCGATATTGTTGATTGAGTGGGTGAAGTAGTCGTCTGGGAACGATAAACTTTCAGACCTCTGGTTTGACACGTCGATGGGCCAGGAGTTCTTCTGCACGTCTGATTGGAGTGCGTCGAGGAAGACTTGGTCGATGTCTGTGGCGTGGATCTTAAGACCTGATGGCGACTTCGAAGAGAGAATCTTTCGAGAGACTGTACCGGCCCCGCAGGCATTGTCGTGAATGATGGCATTCGGAGGTATGGGTGGAAGGAGCGAGAGGTTGTGTGCTGCGAACTGGGAAGTCACGGCACCACCTGTAGCCTCGTACACATCGACCTTGCGTTGGCCTTCAAGCAGGGCAGCGACTTGCCTTGGTTGATGTGGGGAACTGGAAGTCATTATGATAGCTTTTGAGGTTTTGTCGATGTATGTTTGGGTGGGGTTTGATGTGCTGAGCATACAGCAAGACGGCTGCCTCTACGTCTTATGTAGTCATCTCTATAGCGCCAGAACGCCATGAAGCCTTGAAGATTACGGCATGCATACCGCGTCGGACGTCTATGAGACCGACGAGTCGAACTTAGTCATACTGCTCTGTTTTTACACATTTATAGGATACGCTAGATTGGCTGGTGGCGTTCAAGGCTGACATGCGTTGTGCTTACGCCCGGCTACACCATACTAACGGAAACGACTTTTCGCGAGAACTCGCCAGTGATCCAGGCGTTTCCAGAGCTGCAATCGACGTGGTAGTGTTGTGGTTCAGAGGTGATGTACGAGCGGACATGTGGAAGTAGCGCCCGGAGGAGGCTCGTCCGGACATGTCGGATCCGAAACGGTTTAGGCGCAAGTCCGCCGTCCTCCCGAGGTCCTCCTCTGCTTATCGCGAATAACGCGACTTTGGGGCACATGTCTCCGACCCCTCCTCCAGCGCACGAAAGCAACGTTTGACGCGTCGTGCCAACACTTACGTATCCCATCTCGCCTTCGTGGGTCGTTACCAATCGATACTGAGCTTGCGCGGTGCCGACTCACACGAGCGCGAACCTCCGTCTGCCCAACGCCCGGAGGATCTGCCAGCAATGTCGGAAAGCCATACTCGCGCGCCGAGACCTACAAGGCTGGAGAGACTGGACAATATATGTGGGCTGGATATGTGGAGATATCCGCGCCTGTATGAGGAGGAGATTGTAGGCTGTGGATGACGCGTTGGCTTCCCAGCTGCGTCGAGACGCGACGCGACCGGGTAAGCTTGCACGGTCATCACACGCTATCGATCTGATCAGATGAACTGTCATCTATATCGTACGCAGTGTGGTGTGGGGAAAATACAGGCTTGGAACAGTTGCGCACCTGGAAAAAAGAGACCCACGGCATGCTCATCGTGAGCGCAAGCACGCGGGGATAACTTGATTCATCTACGGTCCTGCCTAGATAGGCATCTACGTTGACACAAATCCCAAGAATCATGTTCTGTATAACACGATGCTGCGAGGAGCCTTATCGAGGTAACGTTCCGGTTGTTGGACACCATGCCTTCTGACAGGCGCTGTGCGCCGTTGAGCACGAGTACAGACCTCTGTCTCTGGATGCTTTCTATATATCACATCATGGAAGACAGTTTCGTGCCGTATGCTCAAGTAATGCCAGACAACATGGTTTCATATCTTCTGGTTCTCCTCTCTTGTATAGGCAACGCCATTGCTCAACAAGCAGCGTAAGACAGCGAATTTGTCTTTTTATAATCCCTGTTGTACATTGCTCACTCTCTCTAGACCGATCTACTCACCTTTGCGACCACCTTCCATCCCGCTCGCAGTCCGCTCCCCATACACTAGCGCTTGGAGCACCACCTCCGGCGGAAGTACGCTTAATAGTCGGAATGTCACCTTCTGGACTGGCGATCCCATAGGATGGAGTGGCATCATACGCGTAGACGGAACGGCTTATGAATACATGGGAGACTCGCCCTCCGTACAAGGTCTCGAGAAAGCAACTCCACTTACCGTGTCTTACGACTCCCACTACAGTAACTTTACATTCGCCGCTGGACCTGTGCGAGTAGTTGCGCGTTTCTTCTCCCCTGTTCTACCGAAAGATCTGTGCAAGAGCAGTATTCCGCTCAGCTATCTGGAAGTCGAATTTGTCGCCACCGATGAGCTTTCGCATGACGTACAGCTCTACTCAGACATCGATTCTATGTGGCTTGCAGGCGGCAACGCTTCATTCAACTTGACCATTGACTGCCCTGGTGAGTCTTTCGGCGAAACTCAATGCCCGCCCAAGGGAACGGAGACCCCCGACACATTGTTCCATTGGTAAGCTGTTGAATCAAAGTATGTTCAGTATAACTCTAACCAGCTTTAAGGGAAGCAGTGATTATAGATGAGATTTCATGGTCCGATCGTGGCCATAAACAGGAACCGTACTGGGGCAGCCTACACTACGTCTCTTCTCCCGGCATGAGCACCAAATTCGATACTGCGAACGGTTTAGCAACCACTGTACGACGGCAGTTCGTCAATGGCGGCATAGTGGATAATTCTTTCGATCAGAATCAGTCTCGGGGACCATCACCTGATCAAATGCCAGTGTTCGGTTTCTTGCATAAATTTGCGTCTAGTCAATCCGGGTCAGCACTGTATAGTGTTGGCACGACTCAAGAGCCTGCTGTGAACTACCGTACTGCTAGCGGGGACGTCGAGCTCCGACCATGGTGGCTTACGAGCAACTGCTATTATAATACCAACAACATGATCCGCAGGCATTACCAAGACTACCCAGCTACCGCAAAAGAGGCCAAATTTTGGACCATGAAGCTGCGAAATGATGTGGAGTACTACTATGCCGAGGATAAAGCGACGGATATGCATGCAGAAGCATCCTCGCTATCTGAAGAGGAGTCATACTATGCCATTGTCGCACTTTCTGCCCGCCAGATCTTGGCTGCAAACGTTATCACAGAATCTGCAGATAACACCACAGGTCCAACTATCTTTCAGAAGGAGATTTCATCAGACGGCAAAGTAAACACGGCCGATGTCATCTACCCCGCTTTACCTTTCTGGCTCTATGCAAACCCGGAGCTTCTCCGCTTACTGCTCAAGCCCGTCTTCGAGTTCCAAGAGTCCGGACTCTATCACGAACGATATGCCATGCACGATATCGGGCGCTTCTACCCAAACGCCATAGGATACTACAGCTCCACCGTTCCCGATGAAGAAGGGGAAGAAGCGATGCCCGTTGAAGAGAGCGCGAACATGGTTATTTTGGCAGCTTCATACTACTTGGCTACCAACGACACAGCATTCCTTGTCAGCCACTACGATATCCTCAAGCGATGGTCGGAATACCTCGTAGAAAATTGCCCATACCCTGAGCATCAGACTACGACAGGCAAGTACAAAGCAGCACGTCAACACCAAGAACGTTTGTACTAACGAACCTGAAGATGACTTCAACGAACCCATCGCCAACAACACTAACCTCGCAATAAAAGGCATCGTAGCCCTAAATTGCATGGGTGTCATAGCCCAAGCCAATGGCGACAGAGGCTATGGAGCAGGCAGATGGATGCGCAACGCGTATTTCTACTATACCCTCTGGTCCGAATCAGCCATAGACCCCGCAACCAACCATACTCTTCTCGCTTACAACCTCCCCGACTCCTACAGCATCCTCTACAACATCTTCCCAGCCCTCCTCTTCAACCTGCGCGCAATCCCCAAATCTCTTTTCACCATGCAGTCGGACTTTTACCCGACTGTCGTCCAGAAGTATGGCGTTCCCCTCGATAACAGACGCCTGTGGACGAAGAGCGATTGGGAGATGTGGGCTGCGGCTACGAGTCGACCTGAGACGCGGGCTCTGTTTGTGAACTCGTTGGCGAAGTGGATCAATGAGACGAGTACGGATAAAGCGCTTTCCGATCACTTTATGACGACGGGTGATGGGGGCTATACTGATTACCCGTTTGTGGCAAGGCCAGTCGTTGGGGGGCATTTCGCGCTGCTGGCGATGGGTCTTTTTGGGAGACATGGGGTTCTAAATGGAGAGGATGAGTAAGCTAGCTGGGTAAGATTGCCAATGAGATGGTGGATAGGTCATGTCACGACATCACTGCACATGCTAGAGTTCACCCGGGATGATTTGAATGGTATCATGTTTCGTATTCATATCGCTTCGATGCGATCACCAGTTGCCTTCTCTACTTCCCATTTTCGCGCCATTCTCATATCATGCATTCGAACATCCCTTCATGTCCTTCTAGTGCTATCTCATCGCGCAAACTTTTAGCGGAAACTGAAATATAACGGATGGGAAGGATCGCTTGGGTACTTGTTGAGGTACCAGAGAGGGGGCCTAGTTGTGCGCCGCTAGCGATCACGCTCCTTGAGCTCCTCTGCAACAGCCTTTAGACCCTTCTCATGTTCCTTCTGGATCTGATCCCAGTACTGTGCCCAGATGCGAGACTGTGAATCGTCCTGACCAATACCGGCTTCGGTGCCCATTTGCTTGTTAAGCTGCATTGACACTTTGAGCACGCCCTTGGCGCCTTCGTGAATCTTCTCGATCTCCTGCTTGACAGCATTCTCTTTTGGCTTGACGGCAAGTACAGTGCGGAAGTTCTCGGCAAGAGAATCCAGACGCGAGCGGACCTGGTCCGGTGCAATGACCATAAGCTTGGTGAGCATGAGGTTGCACAGAACTCGGATGTCATGCTCGTCGGTAATACCAGCGACAATGCGATCGAAGAAGTCGGAGACCTCGATGGGTGACAGACGTGCAAAGGCCTTCTCAAGAAGAGCATAGAGGGTCTCGTATGCGCTCTTACGGATCTCTAAGCCATCATCGACCTTGAGCTTGAATGGACCCATTTGCACCTCACGGATAAGCTCAGGCTTGATGACAGTCTCCTTCATGGCGAGTGGAAGCAGCTGGTCGAGCGCAGGGAGGATAATGTCAGGCTTGTTGTGCATGGCGGAGTTGAACGTCATAAGAGCAAGACGGCGATTCTCGAGATCAGGCTCGTTGAGCATCTGTACAAGCATAGGTACAACGATGGGGCGGAGGTATTCGTCGTAGGCTTCATCGGTATCGGTGAAGGTGTATCGTAGAGCAGAAATGACCATGGCGCGTAAGCTTTCCTTGCGGTCGTTCAAGAACGCCTAGATTATAAGTTAGCTGTTGAAAAAAAAAAAGACTATGAGGGCTTACCTGAAGTTGAGGAAGGTACGTCTTCGGGTCAATGATAGTAAGCCTGCCAATGCACTCTGCACCGATCGCTTTGTTGTCTTCGAGCTGCGAAGCAACAACGAGGTTTTCCCACAGTGTTGACGTGTACGGGATGATCTCCGACTCCGTGTCGTCATGCTGAAGGACTTCCTTGATAGCGTGTAGGAACAGATACTGCGGTGAAGAAGGCTGTCCCATAGATGAAAGAATGACGGGAAGATATTTGCTGACACTTCCAGCACCGGCTCGGCCAAGCGCAACAGCGGCCGCAAGTGGTACGTTCTCGGACTTAGCAGAGAAGTACTTGATGAACAACTTGGGATCAATGGTAGATTGCGAACCAAGGCGCAATGCAGATTCTCCAAGCACTACCAGGGCAAGACACTTGCGCTTGTCGTCTTGTGCCGTCTCAAGCTCGGTGATGAACTGCTCAAGTTTTACGCCAACACTGTTGCCACCATATACAAGCAAGTTACCAATGACCTTGCCTACCACCTCTGGATGCCCAGATACACCGACTTGTTGTAGCAGTGCTTGCATCAAGGCCTTTCCGGCGCCTTGCTCTCCGATAGTGCGTACTAGCTGGAGGAGTGCATCCAACGGCGTTCCGCTTATCGAGCCTTGAGCAACTTGACAAAGGGCATCGTTGAGGCTGGGCGTCATGATGACTTGCGCGTCGTCCTTGACGAATGTAGCCAGGATGATAAGAGCCGGTCCCAGGAGGTGCAGATCGCTGGCGTTCAGCAGCGGAAGCAGCATCTCCACCACCTGCGCTTTTGTCTTGTTGTCGAGTTGGCTCCGTGATAGCGAATTCAATGAGAGAGTGCGTAGTGCGCTTAGGCTGGCACCGCGTAATACGCGACTGGCTTTCCGTAATTGTGCAGCGAGTTCCAGTGCGACATTCTGTACCCATTTGGCTGACAACTCATTTTGCGCCTTGGTGTGGGCAGCGACAGAATCAACAGCACGTACTGAAGCAAGCCTTGTCAATTCGTTCTTCAGGCGCTCTACCAGAAGTTCAAGTCCAGCCGTTCGCTTTGGCGAGGAGAGGAGGCCTTGTTCACCAGAGCTCCTACCAAGCAACAATCCAAGGACGTGAATAGCACTCCGTCGAACTTCCACGTCAGCGTCGTTCGCTGATATGCGGTTGACTAACGCATCGAACAATTGCTCTAGATGCTGCTGGTTCTCCGTTCCTGCTGTAGCAGCTCGGGGAGGTGTGAGGGCCTTGATGACCTGCTCTGTTGCTGCCAGAGCTTCGATAGACAACTTGCTGTACTTATCCTTGACCCCACGGAGGAGCGCGTCAATGATAGCCGCTACATATGGCTGGATAGATTTAGACGAGTGAGTATCGGCGATGGCTCCTATCAGCTGCAAAGCTTGAGTGCGTAAGGTGTTAGCGGTAGCGGAAGCACTACTTGTCGAACCGCCAGTAATCTTCGCAGCTTCTACAACAGGGTTGATCAGTTGGTTGAGGTACCCATCGAGACCACCACGCTGAGTGATGACGATGTCCTTGATCAGAGAGATGGACGCCTGCTTGGTGGTAGGCGGGCATGATGACTGCTTCAGAAGCTGCGCAATGCCCTTGACAATTTCCGGGCTGATCTTAGCTAAGCTTGCGCGAGGGCCGACCGGAGGCGTGCCAGCTGGTGCGGGTGAAGCATAGCCCATTGACAAGGACGAACTACCCTGCAGATCAAACATGCTGGCATCGCTACCGCCGCGACGACGCTTCTTGCTAGGCGGTGGTGGCATTGTGCCACTCTGAGGAGTCTCGTCGGCGAACTTGACAGGCGAGGGTCCGTCACCCGACTTCTTGATCAAGTTGGATAGAGTGGCCAGGACCTCCAAGCGTACGTTGTCTTCCCGCTCTTTGAATCGTGTTATAAGCGCTGGCGCAACCCGGTCGTAGAGAGTTCCGTCGTCGAGAAGATCGCCGTTACTCCGCGTCGAGATCAAAGTGTAAAGCACCTTGGCCGCACACCTACGAACCTTCCAGCTTGCGTCCTCGTCGTCATCATAACCCGTCTCCTCTTCAAAGTCATCGCCCTCGAGCGCGTCTTCTTCGTCGCTTGGCATGTCATCGTCGTCCTCATCGTCGTCGTCTTGCGCCAGATTAGGGTCGTACTTGAGGTAGCGCGTCGCGGCTTCGATGGTTTCGTCGGTGTACATGCGCATGTCTTGCGGACAGGAGGCAAGGAAACCGTCCAAAGCAATAAGGGCGGCTTCGAGTACCTCGTCGATTTCGGGGTCGCGCTCACCCTCGTCGTCTGAGACATCCATCTCCTCGTCTTGCTCCTGTGTGCTCAAGGCGCTCAGGACAAAGGGCGCCAGCGTCTTTAGGTAAGGACCGAATTTACGCGGGATCGACCGGGCCATGGAGCCTAAGATGGTAATGTACAGCTTCCGCTTGCTGCGAGTGAGGTGGGGATCGCGCAGAAGTTCGATGACCTTTGAAAGGAAACTGCTCAGAAGCTGGTCTGAGAAGTAACCGGCCAGGACCGAGATGGCAGTGACGGACTTCTTCTTCATCATAGAGCTAGCCCGATCGTTCTCGAGAATGGCGAAGGTGATCTGCTGCAAAGCCTGGATTTCTACATCCTGCAGCATAGGACCAAAGCACTTGGCGACTTCGATGAGAACGTCGAGAGCGTTGCTGTCCGAGCCTTTCTCGAGGTCTGACTCCAACATGCCCTTGGGCGGTTGAGTCAGGCCCTGTTGTGCTGGTTGTATAACATTGTATCCGATCAGACGCGGTATCAGGACCCTGCTGATGGCGCTGTATGCATCTTGTACCGACTTGCTGCGCGCAGCACCGGTGGTAGGACGGGGAAGGGTTATAACGACTTCGCGGAGGGCCATAGCGGGTATAGACTGGTCGACCGTGTTGCCAGTGGGAAGCGTAGAGAGCTTGTCAATCATGACAGGCAGCGTCTTATCGCTGATCTTGTTGACGAAAGGGCCCAAACACTTGATGGCCTGGTTCTGGACCTCGCCGTTGGTGTCGACCAGTGTTGTGAGGAGACCCTCGACCGTCTTGGCCGAGACGACATCATCGTGGAGGAGGAGGCCGGGGTGAGCTATGAGGAGGATGTCGTGCAGGTCGCTCAGGGCCATGAAGCGGAAATCGGGGTCATCGTCGGCGAAGCGGGGGAGCAGCTGGGCGACATTATGGGAGGTGGGGTTAGGCGGGACCGAAGAGGGCGCCATGGCTGATGTTTAGAAGGCCTGCAGCACTTCGCGCGTCTGGTATCACAGATGTGAGCCCGCAGTCTGGGGCGCGTGTGGTGTGGCGGGGCAGCTTTGGCGGGGTTGACGGTGCTGTACAGCTTCAATGTCGCGGTGGGGAGCGGAAGGGAGGGAGAGAAGGGAAAAAGCTTGTGAGGGAGCTGCCGTTTTAGTATGCGAGGGAGGCACCAGTGGCCGGGTTGGAAGAGCTTTTGGACAATTGTTGCCTGCGTCGCTTTCAGAGCTCCAACCCGCGCACGGCCTCTGTGCAATTACAGGGTATCCAAGAGCTGCTCCCAACGCGTGAACACCTTATACAAGGGGAAACTAAACACCATAGAACCTACATCAAGATCAAGCTATGCAAAGTAGAGACCTGACGTCAACGTAGGCTCTATAGTGTTCAGCTGTTCCCTTGTATCAGGTGTGAGCAGATGGCATTGTTTTCACATAATCTCTTTCATTCACAAAGCATGATGAAACACTCTTACGCGAGCTCTACGGATAATGGTTTGATACTACGTGCACAATCTTTACGCGATGGCTCTGCAGCCTCGCGCAGGTTCGCGAGTGTTCGAGGTCGGGCACACGTGATG